TCTGAGAAATGAATATCAATGATTTTCTTTGGATTATCCTTTTCCTCAATTACAAAGTCTTGCTTTTCAAAACACCTCCTAATTTCCATTTTACTTAAACCTTCACTAAGTCCATTAATAAGTGCTTGATAACAAGGTTGAAATAAAGTACTAGAGAAAATATAAAGATTATTATAATCAAGGTATTCTCCTCCTTCACTAGGTGAATGCCTTGCGGATCCTTTACCATTAGGTGAATCCAAAAGCAAATTCATTAGCAAATTAGTTTTACCACATCCACTCTTTCCAATAATACAACCTCTTATACTTTGGGGGAGTAAAGGATTATTGTTACGAAGTGGATAATAATTTTTTTAACTGAATAATCTGCAAATTCTTCTTTTTCAGAAGTCATTTTCTCAAGATTTCACAGTATTTAAAGTATTTGAAAAATTTTTAAAAATAAAAATAAATTATTTAAATAAAGAGAATGACAAGTCTCTTCTTAAATTTATATCGAACAAATGAAAAGACATTTCAATTTCCACAAGATTTGAAAAATTAGTAGTATTAGTATTGTTCGTATTGATGGAATTTTAGATACTTCTAATTTCAAAGCAAACAATTTCATTTATCTATCCTGTAATCTTATTTGTGATACCATCATTGATGAAAGACAGAGTAACATAATTTGCAAGTTTCCTTTAAGTTCTAATGGAGAAGTAAAATATGAACCAATAAACCTTATATATCATCGAAGTGTTAATAATTGTAATACTTTGACATTAAAATTAGTGGACGATAAAAATAACCTTATTGACTTCAATAAGTGTGATCTTCATATAGAATTACACTTTAAAACGTAAAAATGGAATAATAAAAACTAAATTCTTTTAAAAATCAGAGATTCCGGAAGGATCTTAGATCCTTTTGAATCCTGATCCTTCGCTAGGTTTTCCTTTCTTTAATGCTCTAAGAAAGTCTGCATTCTTTTTATTCAATCCTTCGGTTCTAGAAGTCTTCGACTTTTGAGTAATACTTAATCCTTCTCTCACTTTATCTTCTATTTCTATTTTTTCTTGAACTGGATTTTCAACTAGTTGTATTTTATCTTTCTCTTTTTGGAGTTGCAATTAAATAGCTTGAAGAATTTCCAGAATCAAAAGAATCTCATTGCAAATTTATTAAGTATAAAAATATTTGAAGATAAAAAAAGTTTTTTTTAGTCTACAACAAGAGATCTTCTATGTTCATTTAAATCTTGCATTTCTACACCCTCTTCATTTTTTTGTTCTCACAAAGATTGAATTTCTATTTCTAGAATTTCTATTTTTTTTCTTGAATCAAAGAATCTTTCTGATGTGAAAAAAAGGTCTTAGGAGAAAAGAATTAACCAAAATGATCTAATTATAAATATATAAAAGAGAGTAACACCAATAGTTACATAAATCCTCCATATCTTGATGTAATACTTCTCAAAAAAATTGATGATACTTCATCTAGTATTTCATGTGGAATTAAAAGCATCTTGACTATTTGAGTGTAATTGAATGCTAGTATCAGCTTTTTTTCACGCATCTCATTAATTAATTCTTCCTCAATATTGGTCTTAGTATCAAGGAGGATATGTTCATGAAAGATTACTTTATCATCTAAAAAGTTGAGATCAAAATCATCAAATTTCTTGAGATTCACAATTTCTTCGCTTCTAGGAAGTTTACTTTTTAAAGAACTAGAAATTATTCCCCCACTCGGATCGTTCTTGTAATACCAAATCTTATCTCCAAGGGATCGTATTCTAATGGGTATTTGTCCTTGAGTAAGAGCTAGACTTCCTTCTTTTCCAAAATGCGATAAATCTATGAATTCAATTTCTTCATCTTCTAAAGATTTACAAAATGTCACTTCTACAACATCTGCGTTAGCAAAATTTTCTTGAGAAATAAGTCTAACTCTTATTGCTGAATGATTTAGTTGTTTTTGAATGTATCTTCTAGGATTCTCTCTTATTAGTGTTTCAAGAAGACTGGAGTGTTCATTAAATATATCACACATTACTTCAGTTGTATGGCGTAGTAGGTTATTTGATTTGTTCTCAAGGTATTGAAACTCTCCAGCTGCTTGAAAATCTGAGTAAACTTGCCTTTTGGTCCTTTGAGATTTTCTATTTTCAAATTCTTCGAGAGCATATTTAGCAAACTTAGTAACGTATTCATCATAACTTGGAAAAGTATTACAAGCTTCTTTAGTTTGGATGAAATCGGAGATTTCTTTATCTTTAGACCTTAGGTAATCAGCATAACTTGGAAGCAGTAAACAATCATTTTTAATCTTTGAGTACTCTTCATAAGTAGGTAATGGAAAAGGCCTAGAAGTGTCTTTTAAACTTTGATTCGTAGATCTTTTGACCTTTTTGGTAGTATCTTCAACTTTTTCAACGTTTGTAGATGCTTTAGCTAATCTTTCCATTTTTTCCTTCTTTCTCTTTTCGAACTCTAGATATTGCTTCATTTTTTCTTCTCTTCTCTTCTCAAATTCTTTACGATCAGCTTCGTATTTATCTCTTACTTCTTTGTCTTTTTCCGTTTGGAGTTTCTCACGAAGTTCTCGATCATTTTGGATTTGTTCTTGTTGTCTTTTATAATATTCTTCTCTTTCATTTTGAAATTTCTGAGGATTAATACTCACTTCTTGAAGACTTGGACTTGAAGTTAATGCTTGTGGAATCAATCCTTCGGATCTAGGACTTCTCGATTCTGAAGGAAATTTTTGATTTTTTTGAATTTCTGCAAAACCTTCTTCACTTATTGTTAGGTCAAGATTACAATCTCTGATTATTTTACTCTTATTTAGACTTAAAGCAATTTGATTTTGACTATTAATCCACAGTCCATTATTCATGATTCCATCCAATTTTCCAATTGAAATATATTGACAATTCTGGGAAGTATTGACATCCCAAATCATAATTTCATTCTTCTTTATTGGACAAGAACCATCCTGATATTTACAATTACTTAAGTCGGAGAGAATATTAGATGGTCTACTTTGATTGAAGTGTGAATATACTTTAGTTTCAATGATGATACAATTCTCTTTGTAATATCTTTTTGGAGAGAAAAAACTAGTAAATCGATTTGGATAATCTACTTCAACTTTATTATTTGTACTCCAAAAACCAGAGGTTCTAGGATTCTTCGAATCTGACATTCCTTCTTTACCTTTCACTAAACTTCCATATTCACATTTCTTATTTGCAATCCATTCTCTACATTCTGCAACACTTATACTTCTATGATTCAATTCCTTTTCTACTAAGTGCTCATATCCGGAAAAATCTGTATACATTGATACTTCACTAACTAATTTCTTACACAACTTAGCTTCACTTGAGTATTCGATAATGTTCGGTTTGTAGACTTCATAACTTACTACTTTTGATTTTTCATTCAATTGTCTATGGTAATTACATTTGTGTAATTTTGGTAATTTAAAGTATTGAACTGGAGCATCAGAAGAACATATAATACTTTTTAGCACTTGCCAAAAATATCATAATGAGTAAATGTTAAAAAAAGAAATAGAATTGTAATAGATTCATTTACTTCAGAAAAATTTATTTTTAAATAAATTAAAAAAATGCCAGAATCAAAAAAATATTAGAAGCTGTTGATAGAATTTTTGATTGTTGATAGTCCAATTGTTCAGGATACTTCAATTCAAAAAAAGAAAAATTTGATTAGCATTTTTTTCCTTCTAGTGGTAGTAGTTTAAATCAACATGGAGAAATTAATTTTATCATAGAAACTTGTGATCAATACCTCCTTCTTCATAAATCTTACATCTACTTAGAAGCTTCCTTGACTAAATTAGACTCTACAGCACTGAATGAAGCTGATGAAGTTACACTTTCCAACAATGCTCCAATGTTTTTATTTGATAGAGCAACTTATAGTATGGATGGTATGCAAGTTGATCCTGGAAGAGCTTCACTTATGAAAGGCCTCCTTACTTATTCTTCAACAATGAATAAACAAAATACTTTTGGTTGGATCCTCGAGACTAAGGATATCATGAATTATAAGATAAATAAATACACTAAAAATAGAAAAGGCTTACTTACCTTTTGTATTCCACTGACTCATATTTTTGGATTCTCGGAGTGTTATACTCGATTTTCGCAGCTCTTTTGACATATACCCAATACTCCTTACCATTATCAGTCTGCATCTTTTGTGGCCTCCTTTTACTTTTTGTAAAGACTAAAGAAAGAGCATCGGCAGTTTCTTTGCCTGTTTTACTTTTAAGAGGAACAACCCATGCATACTTACTAAAACAATCAATGATGGTCAAGAGATACTTGAAATCATTATTCTCCGAGGCATAAGGAATCATTTCTACTAAATCAGATTGCCATTGATCATCTATTCCACAAACGTAAACTCTTTGACTCTTGAAATTCTTCCTTGCTGGTTTGTGAAGAGTGTAGACATCTTGCTGATTCAAGAATTCTTGAACTTCCTTGATTGGCAATTTTGTTTTTCTTTGCAATTCATTGATACCACAAAATCCTGTTTTTGGAGAGTAATAAGCTTTTTCTAAGAGATCTTTTGAATCCTTGGAATCCTTGATTCCTGAACCTCCTTTAATTGTTGATTTCATTGAAATTAACTTACACTTTGTTGTATTACAAACTTCACACTTTCCCTTTATCATTGATCTGTTGTTCTTTGTCAACATCGATTCAACATCAAGTGTATTCGTCTTTATCTTGCATTTGAAACAATATACATGATCAGACATTTATTATAATGAGAAAATGATGAAGATAAAATAATAATAACAATGCAAATCATTATTACAAGCACATTGATAGTACAGAGTCGAAGACTCCTAGATTCTTAAGATTGAATGGATACCAGTATGATTATATTTTATAAATACCGGTAAAGCTATATTTTATAAATACCAGTATGATTATATTTTATAAATTACTAACACAATGCAACAACTTTGTTAGTCTATTTGGTAGGAATTTGTATATCCTTTAATTCCTTTTGTGTCTTCTTTCTTGCTCTTAGAGCTTCGAGAACCTGTTCTTTTTCATCTGTCTCATCACGTTGACGCTTACGAATATTACTACCAGTATTTTTACGATCATCTTTTACCTGAAAAAAAAGATCAATCACTTATGAAATAGTTAATTACTAAAGTACCTTTATTTTGTTATCGTAAACTTCTCGACGTTTATTGAGACGCTCCACTTCATTATTCTTATATTCTTGAGCTCTTTGAAGCTTTGTAATTAGAATATCAGTCTGGAATAAAGAATAATTTAAAAAACTTAAAAATTTCAAAAGCAAACCTTTGATTGAAGACTTTTGATATATTCTTCCTCTCCTTTTCTACGATGATGTTTTTTCTCCTCTTGAACAGTCATTTCTTCTACATTTTTCGGAGCATGAAGAGGTGTAGTATTAGTCAACTGTGAAGAAGCACAATCACACATTTGCCAGTTAAACTAGGCGCACGCGACGCGTTGGGCTAGAGTGGAAGGGCAGAGCTGTTCTCAAGTCGGGGCGACCCCGGCCGAGGCCGCCCCGACCCGACCGCAACGCGCCCCTGAGCGCCCCGGCCCGCGAAGCGGTTTTCATTCAGGCCCCCGAAGCGAGCGCGAGGATTTTTCCGTATTTTTTTGTTTTTTTATTTTTAGTTTTTTTATATTGAAAATGAACTTTTTAAGTTATTTATGATCCATGAAAATTTTAATTTTATTGTTTTTGACAGAAATCGTGCTTTTTGATTTCACTTTTTCGCATCTTTTTCGTTTTTTTCTCTTTGTAAATAAATAAAATAATATTTCAAATAGTGGTTTGAATTAATTTTTTTGCAAAAAAATGAAATTCCTGATGATGTGAAAAATTTCAAATTATTTTTTTATTTATCAATTTGTTTTCTCTAGTTCTGTAAACTGTTCTGGCCACTTAGGAAACTATTGAATTTTTTTGGATTAATATCTCATTTCATCGGTTTTTTTCTTTTTTTATGTGCTCGATAATAAATGTTTTTTTGTTTCACTTTCATTTCAGTAAAACTTACGCTTTCCATAATTCGCAAAAAAACTGGGAGTCAAAACAAAATTTGTATCTACGGGTCGACCGAGTTGACCCTTACCAAAGGCCGACCGCGGCCGCCCTCGAATACGCCGCAAATCGGGGGGCCCTCGGTCGACCGCGGTCGCCCCGAGAACAGCTCTGTGGAAGGGTGATGAGAGTTACGCGTTGAGCAGAGACGCAGAGAAAGGCGAGAAACTGCCAACATCGCATTCTTTCATCAACTTTTGTAAATAGAAAATAGACTTCCTTTTCTTCTGTAGTTCGCGTTGATTTCGTGATTTAACATGATTATCATTATTTTCTGCTTAATTTTGAATTTGTAAACAACTTTTCCATATCTTATTGTCTGGTGTAATGTTTCAGTTTTTCAAAAGCATTTTAGTTAGTCAAGTTTTCCGGAAAGTGAAGCTTATTTTGTACTTATCTTGAGATGGTATTGATAACTAGTATTAAAAACTGTTTTATTTATTCAATTTACTTATTTCATTAATTCTTTGGTTTCAGAATGGTTTTTATTGTGATCCGACTAGTTGGTGAAGCAGAAGATCGCTTGTTCAAGAACGTTGTTGTAGAGCAACAGGTTTGAACATTGATCATTGCCTTTATCTACATAAATTCTGTTTTATTTATAGATTTCGCGTGTTGATTTGGTGAAGCTGATTCAGGATGTCACTCAGATTCCCGTCATTTTTCAACAGATTAAGTTATGTGGTCAAGAATTGCCCGATTCTCTAAATCCTTTAGAGTCGATCAAGGATTTTGAAGAAATCGAAGTGGTAAGCTGAATTTTTATATTTTTATTTGATTAATTGACTGATTTCAGTGCCATACTATGTTGGTAAATTGGCGGACATACATCCAGATGATAAGTGAAATCAAACGATTGACCACATCGGGTGTTACGGCCGGAAGAAGGGAGATTGCTCTTAAGGCTCGTATTCAGCTGTCCCCACTCCAATCGTCAAAATTCTTTGCTGTGTATCCCAGTTTCGCAATCGAAGAAATGAACATCGGCAAGAGTGTGAATTTTCTGATTCATAACACCAAGAAGTATCTTCACCGATCTGTTTCGGCATATTTTGAAGCAGCATATCCGGAAAAAACGGTGGAACTTAAGGACAAATCTGAAGAGTTTGCAGGGATCCATGTATGTAATTATTGCTTATTATCTTTTATTTTTACGCATTTTTAGCTCGGAGTCTTTGTGTTCATCGATCATGAGCCCTCTTACTATGCGAAAACTCTTGGAAGTATTCCGGGACCTGACGAGGAGTCCGACTTCCCAAACTGCCCAAAAATCGACCTGATGGAAATTTATGTTTACTTCCTCCTCAAATTAATTGGTGTGGGACCGGTGGAAGTTCATGTGATACCAGATATTACCAAATCTGATCTGGTCTTCATGGCAACTAAATTAGGTGGGCATCAGTTTGATTTTTAATTTTATATCTGACAATTTAGTTGACGGATTTCGAACGGCTTCGGGAATCTCAGCTTCTGAAATAATAGCGAGTACTTCTTCTGAAGGTGATATTTAGATTGTTATACATGAATCTAATTTATTTTTAGTGATCGGACCAGTCTACATCGATACGGAAATGAGAAATCAGATGAAGATCTTGTCTTCCCTACTTTGTTTAAGCGATCTGCAAAGGAACAAGGGTAATCATGGAGTGGTAGAGCAACAAACCACTGAACTCGAAAAGAAGGAAGACAAACATTGTTCTACTCGTGAATTGAGAATTATTGACTTTAGGGTAATTTTTTTATATTTTTGTGCAACTGTTTATATATTTTTTGTTATTTCAGATCAACCTTGGCATGATCGACAGCGAACCCAGCATTCTGAACTCTTCCTTTGATATCGCTTATTTGAATACTTATTTTGCAAAGTGGGATCTTCAGAAAAATATATACAGAGCAAGAGAAGCAATGAATAACGTTCCTGCCCTGAAGAACAACCAGAACGTTAATCGCGCGACATTCGATCGGTATTTTAAACGCCTCGAAAAAGGCTCTAACAACTTTTTTTAAAAATAAATAATTTACCAATTCTATGTTCAAAATACAACTTACAATTAGGTATACTTTGCTGTTAACACACGTTCTCTGAGATTTTCGAAAATACGTTGGTACAATAATTTTCAAGTTTGTTTTTTCGAGCTGAAATTCATGTCACATATACTATGCGACCTTCTTAGCACATGACACCCGGTTTCGGCAGGCTCCGCCCACTTTCAGGGTTATGGTAGAGAAAATACCGTAAAAAGCTAACTTTTTTCCTGGTCGAGCAAATCGGTTCAAACCAACTGTAACGCAAAGAGCACGTCATTTTGAACATTTTTCATGTTGGAAACTACTCTGGAAAAAATTTTCTTCTTGTGGAAAAAAATCGCTGAAAGTTGAAAAATGACGATTTCCGCAGTTTTTGAGCTCCACTAAAACGGGGACCCCCGATGGCCTTGATTTTTATTTTCTCAATCGATGTATTGAGGTCTTGTGTGTTCGAAAAAAATATCCCTATATTCAAGTTTTAAGTGTCGTAGTACATCACCATCTCAAAGAACGCGTCCAACTTGAAATTGGCCAAAACTTCAAAAATCCATAACTTCTTTGAGAGTTTGATTTCAGTCGAGTTTTTGTTTTTGATGTACTACAACCAACTTGTTTTCAACTCAGAACAGTAAAAAGTGGAAAACGAAAACTTGAAAAATTTTAATTTTCAAGTTTTCGATTTTTGGACTTTTTTGTTTTTCACCCAGATTTTCCGTTTTTCAGCTCTGCTGAGGAGAGGACCCTAGAAGGCCTGGAATTTTATTTGATAAAATGATCAATTAGGTCTGACTTAGCTCAGAAAAAATATTCCCGTCTTCAAGTTTTAAGTGTTGCAGTTGACCACCGAAGCGCCGAAGCTGGCGACCTCAAAAATCGAGTAAAAAAATGAAAAAAATTCATAAACTTAGTTTTTTTCACTTGAAATTGGAAGGAACCCTTCCCAAAAACTTTTTTTGTGTACATCTCATTGAAAAAAATGCATTTTGACTGTGAAAAAAATGACATTTTTTTCGTTTTTTTCCATAATTTTTCCACTTCAAGCTACATTTTTCCTGCCTGAGAAATTTCAGTGTCCTGAGTGAAACGTTTTTTATGTGTCTTCTGGACCTTGCATATACCTGAAAGTAAAAAAATTGCCTCAAAATTCCTTTGAAACTCGGGGAAAAAAGAAAAATTCGCTCAGAATCTCGTATTTCTGCACTTTTTCTAGATCTTTTTTTGATAAATTCTTCTGGCAAAAGGTTTGAAAATCGCTCTCATTGTGTTACACTGGTTTTGTGGTTATGGAAAAAGTTTTTTTTTGTTAGTTCTTAATTAATGAGCTCGCAATTGCCGATGGG